CATAAGATAAAATTCCACAAAAAAAAAACAATAATCCAGAAAATGCATATGATAATTTTTTAATTCTCATGAAACACCTGGACCTTGAGAAAAATGGTATAAATGGATACACAGATTTAGAAATATTTCCAAGGGCACTTCAAGAAATGAACACAAAACCAACAGAGAATTCCAATAATGCTGTTTTTTCCCCTACTCTGTTTAACTTACATTTAAAGCCCTGATGGTGGTTTAAAATACTTCATTTTGCACATATTAAATGCCAGTGTATTAGACACTGGAACCACAGACCTCACCATGATCTTTTCCTTCAGAGAGCTGATAGAGACTAACATGGGATTAAGCAAAATGCAAAAGAAGTAATTAATTCTACCTTGGAAGGAATCAGGAAGGATTTCAGACAGAAGATAATTCCTCTTAGATTTCTTCTTCAGAATGATTCAAGTCACTTTCCTAATTGAGACTTAATATACCTTTAATTTATTTATCAAAGAGCCAATAATGTTTCTAACCTCAAATGCTCACTCTTACCAAAAAGTAACATTTCCAAACAATTATATTTTGTAACATCAAAGAACAGCACTGTACAAAACAACAACAACAACAAAAAGCATTGCTTTGCCTGTCCTCTAAAGAGCTGAACTTTTTAGAGGACACAGTTTTTGTCAGTGAATGTGTTTTCAGAATCAATGGTTGACATGTCATCAGGAGTTCTCTTACTGCCCTTTCGAATATCTCACATATCCAAACACTAAATCTGAGTTCTACTGCACCTCATCTCTTCTCAGGGCACAATAGACTGAAAGACTCAGATTGCTTCTCTCAACAGAAGCAGAAGTTTAGGCAGTGCTCTTTATCTGGAATGTGATTCCACCCTCCAGAAATTGTTCACTGCCCCTCTGCAGTCTCAGTGGCTGCCTCTGCATCACAACACTTGGACTGATCTGTATGAAGAAAATGAGCCATTGCCTTTATTAAAGCACATAAATTCTACTTCATCATTAACTTTTAAAGAAGAAAAAAGAAAGTATAACTTTCTTTAATGCCAGCACAACATTCACCTTAAAAGCAAAACAACCCAGTGGCTTGGGAGGCTGAGGCAGAAGGATCACAAGTTCAAGGCCAATGTCAGCAACTTAACAAGGCTCTAAGCAACTCAGTGTGACCCTGTCTCTAAATAAAATACAAAAAAGGGGGCTAAGGATGTGGCTCAGTAGTTCAGTGCCCCTGGGTTCAATTCTGAGACCAAAAAAAAAAAAAAAAACAAAAACATGTAAAGAGCTGTAGAAAATAGTTCCGGAGTGTCCAGCACCACTGATCAGCAGGACTGTCTCCATCTACTTTCACCCCTGCTTCTTTCTTCTTCTCTGTCTGCAATGCAAGGGGTTCCCTTCTCCTAGGAAAACTCTGGAAGACAGAGCCAATTCCCATTCATCTGAGGTAATTTAGATGTCACTTTGGATAGGAGAAAGACCACAAAATAACCTTGCAACTACCATCCACTGCAGTACCGCAGACAGTGCTGCATCAAGCTTTCCCGCAGCTCAGTCTACTGAGCTACCTACAGAACAAGCAAAGAAGTCATTTTCTATTTGCTTCAGCCAGGACATCCATACAGAAGTGTAGATGGACATGCATGAACCACTACTGATCATCAACAAAGAGAAATTTATTGGCAGTTCTGAAGAAGTCTTATACATTCTCATAAGTGATTAGATTTCATAACATACCTAATATAAAGCTATAAATATAATAATCAATTTGGAAGCTCAGAAAATGCAATCAGAGATTTCTGATCAAGGAGTATGGCCAAAAAAGCTAATACTTATTCACCAGTAACCACACTAGAAAGGAAATTGTCTTTGGGATGAGAGTACAGTTGCTTCTCTAGGGACCAAGGTGACTATATCCTTACCAACCCAGAACACCTTGAGAAGAGATCCATAATTACTCTTGCAAATTTATAAAACTTATACCTTACACACTGGAATAACCATCCCTTGTAAGTCAAATCATAAATCTTATACATCAACTGATACCATGTTACTATATTATGGTGTGATTTATCAGCCAGTAATTTAACTTCTGAAGAGTCACCATCTTTGCCATCCTTACCTCTTCTCTATTTATCTCCATGGTAAAATCATGAAATAGCAACACTAAAGCCTACAGCCTCCTTCATGTGTGACAGGCATTTCACAGTGACTATTTCATTTGATCCTCACAATAATCCTATAACACAGGACAGCTTATCAATTCCTATGCAGATAAAGCACACAGAGGCTAAATAACTTGCCCAAGATCATACTGCTAGTAAATGATAAAGATGGGATTCAAACATATGCAGTCTATTCCTAGGACCTATTGGAATTACTATGTCTCCCCTCTAAACCAATTTCCCCAAATTTAATACAACTGAGATGAAGATAAAAATCAACAGAAGTCAGATAGGTAAAGAATCTTTAGGCATAAAATCTCCATTATACATTTATGAACCAAAAATAATCAAGTTTAAAAAAATCTACAACAGACTAGAATTTTATGCATTAAAAGACTCTGCGTATATGATAAAGTTTAATAGGAAAATTTTTAAGATTTTCCTTTCCAAATGACAATGGCTCAATTTAAATACTTTACATGTTTTTTCCATGTGTGTAGGGGAGTGTGAGTGTGTGTGTGTGTGTGTGTGTGTGTGTGTGTATATATATATATATTTGGGGGGTATGTATGTGGTGCTGGGATTGAACCCAGGGCCTTGTGCATGTGAGGCAAGCAGTCCACCAACTGAGCTATATCCCCAGCCCCCATGTATGTATTTTTTAAGAATACATTATACACATAAGCAGAAGGCTTACTATTACTAGGTTTGATTTAACAAAACTTTATTGACTGATCACTATGCACTGTGATACAAAATGTATATATAAGTATAATTAAAACATGAACTATAATCACCTTAAGCTCACAAAATAAGAAAATATATAAAATAACATGAAGACAAGATCAACAAAGGAGGCATCTGCAAAGTGGAAGCTGGCAATCTCAGCTGGAATAATGCTCAGCCAGCGAAGGACAGACAGCCAAGAAGGCATCCAAACATGTAAGCAACCTGACAGTCAAATATGAGGGTGGCAACAGTTGCCCTAGACAGAGAAACAACCTGTGTGAAGGCACAGGCGTGCGGTCAGCACAGCACAGCAGTGGACAGACCTCAGGCAGGCAGTGTAAAGAGAGGAGCTAGAGTAAGGCTCAGGTTTTGAAAGTCCACCAGAACCCAGATTTCTGATTAGGAATGCACTAGAGGGACAGGAGAGCTAACCAGCCTACTTCTTCACTCTGGACTTGTGCTTTCACCTCAAAAATGAATATCTGTGACCTTATTCCCCTAACTTTCAAAGGGAAACACCACCATCCCACCTAAAAAGGAAAGTCACAACAGCAACAAAGTAGCCTAGCTTCTTGTCACCAAAGACTCCAGAGTCAGAGAGAGAGAGAGAGAAACCTCAGACTCATGAGAATTAGTATTAAAATACATTTTAAAATACATTTAAAATACATTTAATTTTCTATGAGCAAAAAGTTAACAGAATGTTACAATAATATTTCATTTGGCTGGAAGAAATGTGCAATTAATAGTTTGGTTCTGGATCAAATCTCATAATGATTTAAAAATCAAACTACACAAACAACTTTGAAGGCAGGAAAATCTAGACTTGATTTCAAACACTATTTTTCATTTAAAGGCAATCGAGAGTCCAGATCTGGAATTAATGTACCACAGATACAATACTTGTCATTTACAAACTGATGTACATTTCAAACCCCTTTTCAGTCATTATTTGACTCCTCTAGTGAGTTTCTTATGGAGGCACCACTTCTTGATGAGAGAGACAAACATCAGGGCTCGGGCAGCCTTCCCTTCTGAACAGAGCATTGTCTATGCCAAGCTATGGAATGTGTGAGGTTGACAGGAGCTCTGAGCAGGCTAGTACAGTCACATCAGGACCTGTTCTATACAGGCCTCTAAGTGGCTTCTGCCCAGGCCAAACCAAAAATACAGCTCCACACACTAACGCCTTCAGAGCAGCCCTGGTGGCACTGAGGGGACATACTACTGTGAGAAGCCAAGAATTTGGACTGAACTCCCACACGAGCCCAGCAGACAAAAGCAACTCAGAGGTAATCATAGTACTGAGCGCTGGGGCTGCAGGAGGCTTGCAGATGATGAACTAAGCTATGACCAGTTGGCCTTCTCTCTTCTACAAATGCTGAGGGATTGTGCTGGTGGAGTTCTAAGATCATCTCTGGTTCTGGGGGAGTCTGGTTCACAAATGTATTTTGTGTTGCTTTTTTTTTTTTTTTTTCCACTTCACACTGATTTGTTTTTCTTTGCTCAAAAAACTCTACTTGACATAATCATTGGCCTAAGGAATTCCTTCTGTCATGAAGGAAGTTCTACAGAGAACTTAGTTTCCCTATCTGAAACCCAGCTTTACCTACTTCAAGGAGACAAAACGTGGCACAAGGACAGCATTGACTTGTTACAAGAGAAACCTTACTGTCAGGGTCACCAAAGGAGAAAACAGGTGCTAGACTGATACTGGAAGGGCAAGGCCCAAAACTGCAGGAAGAAGTTCCATTCCTACATTAGATGAAGTTAGACTCACTACTAGATGCCCAACAAACACCTAAAAATTCTTAGAAGCACTAGGAGTAATTTATATCTAGTCAACTTGCTCCTAAATCTGTGAGTTACAAAACTTAAGGTGCCTCTCTTTCTGCACTCATTCCTATAACACTGGAGGCTGAGCTGTGCAGAAAGTGTGGAAGACTGAGGTGAGCTGGCCCCATCTCTCTGCCTTTACCACCTCCTTCTCATTTTCCTTATAGGCCTTGTTTCTTTTTTAATCTGGACAACTTTGTGTACTACCTTAAATCTTTTCTGAAATAAAGAATACTTAAATTAGCTAAACAAACAAATTTTTAAAAGAAAATAGTACCTTTATATCAAAATTACAATCAAGTCTTCTAATTAGCACGATGAAAGCGCCAGATGAATTGTCCTTTAGTGGTGGAGGTGCTATGGGCTCACAAGCATTCTCTGGTTTTGAGTTGATCAGAAAACCCTGAAAAAGAATTGCAACAGAGTCATCTTTCTTGTCCCACTCAAGGAAGCAAGCACTCACCTCTGCAGACTCCACTGCTTATGGGCCTGCTCTGCACAGGGTGGATATTACTGGCAGTTATGACTGCTCCCAGTCCCAGAACATTTAAAGGAGTATTTGTTGTAAACATGGAGTGTTTTAAAATAAACTGTCTTAGTACTAGAGTTAAAAACAAAAAAAAAATTACACATAAGAAAATCACCCAGGGGCTGGGGTTGTGGCTCAGCAGTAGAGCGCTCGCCTAGCATGTGCGAGGCCCTGGGTTCAATCCTCAGCACCACATAAATATGAATAAAATAAAGGTATTGTGTCCAACTACAGCTAAAAAAATTAAAATATTAAAGAAAAAAAATGAAAATCACCCAGCAACAACCACTATTTTCCAACATATGACATTTCTAAATCAAACAAATCCTTTTTTAAAGTTAGCTTCCAATTTCCGTTCATGATATCAAACAAGGAAAATGCACAATAAAATTTCTAGAAACGTATTCTATAGAAACACTAGCCTGAGTCTATAAAGGTATATGTAGGAAGATGTTCATTCCAAATTCTTTTAGCAGAAAAAGCTGGAAATCATGCACATCACAACGCAGCTATCTAAAAAAATTATAGTATACTCATCTAATAGAAAAATAATATAGCCATTGAAAACTGAGGAAAATCTACACATAGTAAACTGAAAAGATGTCTGCAAGATAATTATGAATTTAAAAAGAAAACAGCAGGTTGCTTTCCTAGAAATGCAGGATGATCTGACATCATAAAATGTTATAAATTAATAGATTAAGATAGAAAAACCAAATGATTATCAACAGGTATAAAAATGAGTAAACACATTAAAAGATGATCAAATTCATTAAATTCATTTATAAGAATAAATTAGCAATGACAGCTATGACATGATGACTTAACCCTAGTTCTGCATGGCCGGGGCGCAGTGACCATGCCTGTAATCCAGCGGCTCAGGAGGCTGAGGCTGGAGGATCGTGAGTTCAAAGCCAGCCTCAGTAACTTAGCAAGGCCCGAAACAACTTAGTGAGACACTGCCTGTAAATAAAATATTTTAATATTTTCAAAAGGGCTGGGGATGTGACTCAGTGGTTAAGAGCCCCTGGTTCAATCCCCAATACCAAAAAAAAACAGTTCTGCATGGTGCTTGAACTGATCATATCAACTAATTCACTGGATTTGTCAATTTCTCCTGCCCTAAGTTGCACTGTTTGGCTTGTCACAGGCAAAGCTTCTGTACATATTTCAGGAACAAAATGCATATGTCAGCCAGGCAGGTGGCACAAACCTGTAATCCCAGCAACTCAAGAGGCTTAGACAAGACGGTCATGAGTTCAAAGCCAGCCTCAGCAATGGCGAGGCACTATGCAACTTAGTGAGACCTTGTCTCTAAATAAAATACAAAATAGGGTTGGGGATGTGGCTCAGTAGTTGAGTGCCCCCAACTCCTGGTACCAAAAAAAAGCATATGTCCTACATTTACTCATAGAATAGTTCCTCTTCTTGATCCCATCAAGCACTTGATTTTGCTTCTCCAGGAAACAGAACTGCAGACATCCTTCTAACAATGAATATTTGTTTTACTTTTGTTATATTTATTCTCTGCTTTCTTTTCTGTGTCTTTCTACACACACTAACTCAAATTACATAATACAGTAAATCTTTTTCAACATACCTATAATAGCAACTGAACTCAACCTATATATCACTTAGAAGCCATGAAGCCAGATGTGGTACCATGTACCTATAATACCAGCTACTCAGGAGGTTGAGGCAGAACCACTTGAGCCCAGGAATTCAAGGCCAGCCTGAGCAACACAGCAAAACCCTTTCCCCCTGACACTGCAAAAAGGAAAAAAAAAAAGGACTATGGCCAAATTTCCCATGGCAGGTGATAATAACACCTTCATAAATGCCACCTAGCAACAGCAAAGTGAAAGATATCCCAGTTTCACAGCTGGTGAACTGTAGGGTACTAAAATGCACCTTAGAACCAGTGAAATAGGATACAGGCACATGAGAAGGCTCTGAGAGTGGAAATGGAAAAGAATGTTTACTTTTCAATCATTTTGAATCTATTGTTAAATCTATTTTGAGAAGCTTATATTATTTTAAAACTAAAGAACATTAATAAAAACAAACACATGAGCTGAAAATAATGATTTTGCCTTAAATTGACTTAAGCCTTGAAAAAAACAGGTCTTAGAGTATTAAATATTATCTTTCTTATTGATTATACTAAAACAAATAACTTCCTAAAATATTCCTATCCTCCCCTCGGATGTAAGTCATTAAAATCAAGTTTACATTTACTTTCTTTCATCCACAAAGTCTATCAGGCAGCATGAGAAACTTGGCCAATTAGAATATTGCAGCTGTAGCCAGGTACACATGCTGTGTCACCCAGAGCCAAGCCCCGTCGTCGTCGTTAAGAGGAGTCTGCTCTGCAGTAAGAGTCCTTGTCACCTCTAGCATCAGCAGGGCACATTATGCTAATATGTAGTCACCCTAAGAAAATTGCCCGTGCCCAGGAGACTCCATGCCCAGCTTTCTTCTCTTGGCTGCTGTGACCCTCTGGTGACACACAGGTGCTGGATGGCAGCAGTATGTGCATACAAAAAGTGGAATCACAGACTTTGAAACTAGATCACAGGGTACCAATCTTTATAAAAACACTGCCAAGCAGTTTTTCAAAGTGGTTTGGGTTACCAAGTTTTAACTGCAATAGTAAAATAACTTAAACATAAAAATCATACTAAACGTAATCTTGTTTTAATGCTTCAGAAGATATTTAGTTTAGGGTAAATGTAATGTAAATAATTACTTTTGTTGACAAGTTAAAATGGTTAAGAAGTCATAAAGAGATAACTCAAGTGATTTTCTAAAAGATGTTTCAGGCTGAACAGAGCCTCTGGATTCAGCACCAGTGAAGATGTTGGAAATGCCAAGAAGGAAACTGGCAGCAGGCCCCTGAGTGTACCTCTTGCAGTGAGAGTGTAAAGCACAAGTGGGAGGAGGCAAGAAAGGTGGTGAGGTAAGAAAGGTGGTGAGGTGTCTGTGCGTACCTGAGAGCACAGTGATGGCCAATAGCAGGGGGCTGTGGACCACCTCACGCTGGCTGAGTGGGGGGGCCCTCCGCTCCGTAACACCTCACCTAGAGTGTACCTGTGCAGCAACTATGAGGTAACTGCTACTATCATCCTTCCATGCACAGACAAGGAGACTTCTCAAAACAGTGATGGAATAAGCCAAAGTCTTATAAAGCAGCCATGCAACCTCAGAGCTCAAGCCCCAGACCTACGCTCCTGGTCACTCTGGGACACAGCCTCAAGGCCCTCCCCCACCAAAAAAAGAAAAAGCACACTCTGAATGAAGAACAAAATGCGCAACAAGGAATGGCTTTTATAAAGATAAACCAAGAGGTTATGAACCTTGATTCCAAAATTTTATATAAATACTTTAAGTCACAGTGATGTCAGTGGGACCTGTCATATATGTTTTATATTCAGAGACCAAAAAGTTTCAAGTGATCAATCACACTTTGTAATCAGCTGTCTTTCCTAAAGTGAGACAAATGAATTTATTTATATCAGCTTTCTGAAATGTTAAAAGTCCCCACTGTCTTTTTACTAATTCTTCATTTATTTTTTAGATCATTCTTCCAAAATCTACCAGTAACTTTCACACATGCAGCACATTTAACTCTTTTCCCTAGGCAGCTGGAGATCCATTTTTTTCTTATGCATTAAAACGTCCCTTCAGGGCGGGGTGTATCATTCAGTAGTAGAGCACATGCTTTGAATGCATAAGGGCCCCTGGGTTTGATTCCCTAAAGAAAAGGAAAAGATTTAAAAAAAAAAAAAAAAAAAAAAAACTTAAATTTTACTCAGATAATATTAAATTCCTTTAAATAAACTCCTTTTCTTCTGAACGCACTAGTCTCATTTTATGAGGTTAATGGATAAGAAAGAGTTCCTGACCAAGAAATTTAGGTGTTGGAAGCCATGTATAAATTACGAGTTTGTTTGAGCCAACATAAGGCAGGCAGGCTATGTTATGGGAACTACTGGGTGAAATCCCCCAGCTGGAGAAAGCCAGAATGTGCTGGTGCCTAGGTTCAAACGCAGATGCCTGGAGATGGGCATAACCTGCCCCAAACAACGTGTTTGCCCCATCTTTATCCTGTCTTCCTCAAGAAGTCTGCCACACTGAAACCTTTTAATGTATTTCCCCTTAAATAAAGGATTGGGGCCTTTTTTCCTTGTTCAGTTCCAGTTCCTAACAGGGCTGGAAGACCCACCAGGCGAGCCACTTTTAAAACTATAATCTGCCTATTGTCTTTTGTTCTTTATTATTTTTCTGATCTTTTATCTTCCCAGTCAGTTCACACCTCCAAAAAAGAATCTGCTCTACCACGGTGCTGGTAACACTAGCATTTAAGGGTTAACAGATTATTAATTTTTAATTATTTTTATTAGATTTTTAAAAAGCATAAACTGCATGTGATACAACGGCAGAGAATGAGGCAATTCTAACTACAAAGGCAATCACCGAAAAAGTGGCATAGGACTTGTCCCTACACTTCATATTTCAGTTTGGTAACAAAAACTATTTAAGAGATTACACTCAGTTGATCTGGCCAATGCAAGTGACAGGAACCTCACACTTAAACCTGCTCTAGACATTCTGTGTCAGTGCATGCATGCATCATAAAACTGACTTCAGTTTCTGGCAAACAATCACAGTTGTTTCAACAAATTTGACCAATGTTTCTACTATGCTATAATTCTCCCATCTTTTAGGACTGAAGGGAAAAACATTAGTGTATTACTTATTCCAAGCTCCATGCCCACTTGCAAATTTGATAGCCATATCTCCCATGTCTTTCTGCACATCACCAAGGAAAGCACTAAATAAGATGGAAATTTGAAGGTATACAATAATTTTTAAATTAAATTTTAACTGAATTAAAAGAAAAGATTTAGAAAAATCCTTTCACAAATACGACATCATATTTATGCTGTCTCAATATTACATCTCACTTTTTACACTCAGCTAGGATTCTCCCCAATAACTTCTTTGGGTTATATGTTCTACTTAATGAATTATAGTTTAAATTTTAATGAAAACGATTATAAAATATCATTTTTAAAAGCCATTAATAAACCAAGCATGGTGGTGCATGCCTATAGTCCCAGCTACTCGGGAGGCTGAAGTAGGAGGATTGCAAGATCAAGACCAACCTCAGCAATTTAGAGAGGCCCTGAGCAAGTTAGCAAAACCCTGGCACACAATGAAAAACAGAAAGGGCTGGGGGTTTTAGTTCAGTGGTAAAAAGCCCCTGGGTTCAACCCCCAGTGCCCTCCCGTCAAAAAAACAGCTCATTAATACTACAAAAGTATTAAAAAGAAGCGGGCCTCATCAGCCTGAAACAACAAAACAAAATAAAACACAACCTAGCAAAATCTGCAGGACACAACTAAAATGTTACCTTGGGGAAACTTTTAGCACTAAGATAAGAGAAAAGACTTCAAATCAGACTTCATTAACTTTTGTCTAAAGAAACCAGGAAAAAAGAGGTCAAATTAAGCCTAAAATTAAAGTGAAGTGATAAATGACAGCCACTCTCTTCACACCAGTCCTTTGGATGTACATTATTGTGGACAAGTAGATGGCTTTAAAGGGTTGGGGAACTCGCCAGAGACAGAATGGGCATGGGAAGCCCAGCAGCTCCTGCCCAGGAGGAGCGCCTCACCTTGGCAAGGCAGCTCAACACCAGGGCCAGCCCAGGTCCCACCCTCCCAGCCCAGCCCTAACTCTGGCACTGTGCTCACAGTCACTGCTCCTTAGTAAAAGCATACATCTCATTTAAATTATTAGCATTCTCTTCTACCTTCCTATCACCTCCCATGATACCTGCATGTGATAGCAAGTGGTGTGAAAGTCTGAGTAGGACTTACAGGAAATTTAGGTGACCTAAGGAAGCTGGCTAGCAAACACACTCGAGGTGTGGAACACACAACAGCTGCACACTCCCAACTCAGGCTCAGCAAACACCTCCAGCCTGACTTTAGAAAAGAAGTTTAGGCTCTGAGATGATAACTCTCCCAAGAACACTCAGCTGGTGAATGGTGATGCTGTCAAACCCTGAGCAAAACAGAATGATGTTCCTCTTGTCCAAAACTTGTCTTTCAAATTTAACTTAAATACAAAAAGAAAATGAAGTGAGATCGGTGAGACTGAAGATTTTCCTTTAATATTAGTTGCTACATGAAACCAATGATGAAGATGATATCTGGGCTAAACAAACCCATTTGGAAAAGAAAAAAGTTCAAGCCACTTAAAATAAATTGCAAAGTACCAGTGGGAATTTGTAGCATAAAATTAAAGACAGTTTTATATGTACAGAACCAGTCAGTATAATTTTTACTTTATTTCAAAACTTTTACCCAATCAACAGATAGTACTATAATTATTTATTAACTTTAGGAAAAAGTTCCTTGTTTTATAAAGGATTCATTTTCAGATTTCATGACAAAGAAAATTCTCTTAGAATCTACTGTATGCCAAAGACCACAAGTAACATGTCTGTTGCAAAAGTTCAACTTAGCAGAGAAAAGAGCAGTCGGATGAAAGCTGTGCATTGAGTGAAGCAGTGACCCGCAGTCCTGAGCCGCTCAGTTTCTCTCCCTGCATGCCACCTCACTCCTGGCAGCCCTGCTGCTCAAGGCTGCTGACCTGCTCGGCTCTCACAAGACATAAAATAAGATGAGCAAGGAGAACAAAGGAAGCTGCTTTATCTCCAACCTACCTCTTACTGTCAGAAAACAAAATACAACCTGAAGATTTGGGGGTTTATCCTCAACTTTCTCCACAGAGGCTGTGAAGTCCAGCAGAAAACAGACAACATAACAGAGACTAAACACAGCAGAGGCCAAGCTCTCAGGCCCTAAATGTGATTTTCATGCTTATCAAATAACATTAATGAATACATTAGATAACAAATATATATTTAGAGATTTGGGTCATTTCCTACTTCATAACTTACTCCAAACAGGTCAACCTGTTTGGATTAATTTCAGTTTTATTTCCTCTTTTTACTTAAATATTCACTTATTAAAGTATTTATTGATCTTCTACTATAAGACAGACAGTGCAGGACGCACAGCCTAATGGCGTGAGGTAAAGACAGAGATCATGTTCTCAAAAAATCTGCGATTCATGCCAGACACTGTCCAGTCATCCCTTTGGATCATGGGGAGTTGGTTCCAGGACCCCCTAAAGGTACTAAAATCTACAGATGGTCCAGTTTCTTATATAAATGGCATGGTATTTGCACAGAACCCACATGGCTTCCTAGTACTTTAAACCATCCCTAAATGTCTTGTAGCATCTAAGACAATGTGCTTGCTCTGTAAATAGTTGTCATTTGTATCGTTTAGGGAATAACAACAAGAAAAAAGTACATGCATGTTCAATATGGATGCAATTTTTAAAAAATGGTTTTGACCCGCAGTTCCTTGAAACCATAAATGCTGTGCCCACTGGTACCGAGGGCCAACAGCAGCAGGCATATGCAACATAAAGAACCCGCTTTTGTGAGAACCCCCAGGGTAACCTTTCCCTTCCTGGCTCCCCATTCACCAACTTACTAATTTGTAAATATTGAATATTGGTAAAATTGTTCTAACAGGAACATGAGAAAATGACCCAAGTTGGTGATCATTTTGAATGCACATCCTTCTAGTGTTTGATACAGTTGAAATTCAATTTTTATGAGATGAATCAGATATAAAGACAGCAAAACCAAAAATCTCCTTTTTATTGAAGCAGTATCATTACAACAGCGGAGGTTTATAGAAGAACACCTTGTTTCAAAGGATTAGGGGAGCCCATTCATTTGAAGCATTTTTATCATTAGGTAAACCATGACATGCAGATTACTGGAAAGAAGAGGAATTTATGCTACAGCTTCATGATGCTTGGGCAGCAGGTACACCTAGCCAGACACCAACATGCGATCCAAGAGCCTATGTGCTTATATGAAACTCAGGTACAATGCATAGGGTTCTCTATAACATGTCTCAATATTTGATAGGTCAATTTAAAAAACCATGTAAGATGTTATAATTTGGCCAGAGTGAGCTTTTAATTAATGATTTAAAAATCATGGAGAGATATTCTACTTTCACAGCTTCCATAACTAATTTTCGCCATAACTGGTCAAAATTGTTTTAAAAATAACCATTTATGGTCTCTGAAAGTTGTCCTAGGGCATACAGCAAATAAAGAAACATTTAATCATAAAATATAAGGAAACCTTCATGACACTGAGTTTGACAATGATTTCTTGGTAATTATAATAAAATTATAAGCAACAAAAACAACAAAAGAAAAAAATAAAGAAGATGGACTTCATGAAAATTAAAAGATTTAGAGAACTAAAGGACACTTTAACAGAGTAAAAAGGAAACCCACAGACTAGGAGTAATAATTTGCAATCACATCTTTGATAAGGGATTGCTACTCTTAATATGGAAAGAACTCCTATAAATCAACAACAAAAAGCCTGATTAAAAAGTGAACATAGGACTTGAACAGATATTTCTCCAAAGACATACAAATGGCCAAAAAGCACATGAAAAGGTACTCAACATCACGAATCATCTGGGAAATACAAATCAAAACCACCATGAGATACCACTGTATACCCATTAAGATGGATGCATTAAAAAACAGAGAAAAATAACAAATGTTAGCAAGGATATAAAGAAATAGGAACCCATGAATATTGTTGGTGGGAAGGTAAAATGGTGTAGCCCCCACGCAAAACAGTATAGGACTAACTCAAAAAAAAAAAAAAATGCAGCAGCTGTGTTTAGAGATCTCGTGAACATGGAACAGGGTGAGAGCAAGGGAATTTTTCTTCTTGATTTTTCAAGGAAACAGAGAAAATACTTTAAGACCTCAGGGTGTAGAAGGATTATTAAAAACACAGAAAATGAAGACTATCAAAAAGGTGTCTGCATCAAAATTCCAGTTTGGGCATAACAAAAGGCAATCTAAGCACAGAGTGGAAAACTCCTGAAACTTGCAGCCAAAGGACCAAAGGGCTCTAGTCTGGATTTCTATAAATCAGTATTTTAACAACTGACAAGCCAATCCAAAAGTAAGTTAAAAAGAAGAATTTGAACAAGAAGAAACTGCTTGATCAATAATCCTATAGAAAGATGCTTCATCTCACTGTAATCCAGGAAATACCAAGTCAGAACAAGCTGCCATCTCACATCCACCATGTTAGCAAAAAGTCACTTCTGACAACACCAAGTCTTGGCAAGGACATAGCAAAACAGCAATACTTGAATTCAGTTTCCTTCAATGAAGGAAGGAAGGGGGAAGCCACAACCCCAAACTCCGAACCTCCTAGAATGTTTGATGGGGACTCTTGGCGATGAGCTCCCTGTGAGGGTCTCAGAAAGGGGACCACACCATGCAATTTCTCTTCGCCAGCTCTCTTCTCATTTCTGAGACTTTGGGGAAAATACTGATGCCCTTTTGATCTGAGGCACAACCACAGGTGGCTGCAAAAAAAAAAAAAAAAAATCATAGAAATAGAAATGCTCCACAGTTCCAGCTGCTGTTCTGAAAGAGAGCTACTGTCTTCAGAAACACCAGCTCAGGAGCGGTTTGTTCCTACACTGTGAAAGGCTTCACACAGGCCCAAAGGGTTTCGGAGGCTGGTAGAAGCCCTGGGCCAGACTAATTTGGCCCAATGAGAGGGGGAGCTGGAACAGCACCTAGGAGTGTCTACATAGGATGTTGACACAGTTCTATGTACACCTGCTGTGATTTGTAAGATGTTAAGTCCCTGGCAAAAGGAATTGGAGAAGAGAATGAAGATGAAGGGTTTTCAAACACGGCTCTAATACAAGAAAGTACGAGCCTCCAAAACAGAATTCTCAAAAACGTAAGATTCTCCCAGAGACTTATTTTATCCATATACCAAAACCTGCTGCCTCCCTGCAGCTCCTTTATATTCACATGGATTAAAGCACTTCAGCCTGGAAATAGAAAACATAGATTTCTGACAATTTTTTAAAGAGTAGCAGTCATGTCCTCATATGGGCCTTAACCAAATAGACCAGCAATATTATAAACTAGTTAAGAATCCGATTCACTTGCTTTTTAAAAATTCTAATCTAGCCTACTAAAAAATAGAATTCTAAAAATCTAGAAGGTAAAGGGTAAGAATAAAACTAATAACTGCCTTCTTACTAATCCGACTACTAGAGAGAGAACTAAGAATTGAGGGTAGTTAGGGGGAAATTAAAATTTTATACTTATACTAGTAAGTGACACTGTTTAATATATTTAAAATATTATTTTACCAAGAAAAAGAACTAGTATTTTCCAAAAATAACTCTTTTATAGCTCAGAATAAGCTGTCCAAATAAACTGATTGATTTCATTAATGACATACGTTGCAAAGTCTAATAAAAAGTTATCTAGAAAAGATATTTTTATATAAGAAACTAAAATATAAAACTGAAAACAGCCCTTTCCTAACTAAAAATATAAAATAATTTTTAAACTAAAGGTCTATAACACTGGCATGGCATATCTTAATCCATGAAAAGATTCACATTTTTGCATTGAAGCTCAAATTAGCTAAAAATGTCCTTGGCTTTCTGATTCTCTTGCATCATTTTTTAAAAAAATACAGGGTAGAAAAAAGAGAAAATACAGGGGAAGACAGAGAGGGCCTCTGAATATTATTAGCTTAATGTTGGAACATATATGAATGAACTGCAAACACAGAAATCAACTGATATGAGCTATATGACCAATGCTTAGGTCTTCCAGATTATTCTGATGGAATCCAGTGACATAAAGACCTACAGAACATGGAAAACTAAGACCAACAGTAATTACCCCATCTAAACTCTCTGGGAAAAGTTTAAAAGGTATTCCTAACCTGTCTCTCTCTCTCTCTCTCTTTTTCTTTTTTTTTAGAGAGAAATGTGGTTTAATGGTACAGCTCAGCACACTCCAGCACCAGTGGAGGTGAAGCAGCAGGGACGTGTGGGTGATCCCACAGAGCCTCACATGGCAAAGAGGATGAGGAAGGTGACCATCAAACAGAAGAGCCCCATGGCCTCAGACAGGGCAAAGCCAGAATGGCATAGGAGAAGAGCTGTTGCTTGAGAGACGGGTTCCTGGCATAGCCAATGATCAAACTGCCAAACACAGTTCCAATGCCAGCCCCTGATCCGGCTACACCAACTGTGGCAGCCCCGGCACCAATGAACTTGGCTGCTGTGTCAATGTCCCGGGAGACAACACTGGTCTGGAACTCCCGTCTGGCCACCTGGAGTGGAGAGCTGCTGCTGTAGGAAGGCTGTTTAGATGAGTTCTCTAGTCTACTCAGGAAGGAGGCAGACACAGGCCTGATCATACCCCTGGTACTAAAGTGGATCAGAGCCAGAGAAATGAGCAGTGCCCTGGTGGTCTGCATTTTTTTAGTCTCTCTGCTTTAGCCCTTGGTCCCAGTGCTCAGCTCCCTACCCACGTGTCCTGGGGACTCACCTGTCTTCTAATAACCACAATGCATTTTTAAATTAACTTGGTTATATTTTTAACTTATTGGTTTTACAGACATTATGCCATAGTGAGCCACCCCACTTTGGTATCATCAAGTGCTCCTTGTAAACAATGAGTAGGTTGGTGTTTTTCATCCCGATTCTGAGCAATGGCAAAGCCAATCGTGCAACCATAGACGCTTTCCATAAGAATTCAATGATTTGGGCTGGGGTTAAGGCTCAGAAGTAGAGTGCTCACCCTGGGTTCAATCCTCAGCATCACATAAAAATAAAAAATTAAATAAAGATATTGTGTCCAACAAAAAAAATAAATATTTTTTAAAAAAGAATTCAATGATTTATTTGAACATCCTCTCTTTACTGTTCCCATATTTCACTTCTGGGTTTACCCTACATTGTCACAGTGCAAAAAATCAGATACCTAATGTTCTTTTTTTCTTAGGCAATAAATAAACAAAATTATTTGTTTACATTTCAAACTATTTCTGAAATGTAAACTGACTTGACAGTAACACAGAAATAGAGGCGCACCAAGAAGACTATGGTTATCTAGAATTAATGAAACTCTTTTAAAACAAATTCACTAAGCAAAAAGGCTTTTCAGTGAGAAGGACAGTCCGAAAGAAAGGCTGCCAGCTCACATCGTTAGTAATCAGAGAAATGCAAATTGAGACAAGATTATACTTTTTGCCCATCAGATTGGCAAAAGTCAAGACACCGATAATTATCAGTGATGGCAAGAGTACAGAGACGGGTGTTCTCGACACTGTTAATTGAAAAGAATCAGAACAGCCTTTAGAAAAGTAGTTTGATAGTATCTATGAAAACTTTAAATGTATGTGCCCATTCTTCTTTCAGACATCTATTCTACAGAAATAACTGGACTTCAGACAAGGAACCAACGTATCTGTTAATAGGAAACGACTAATAAACCACAATCATTCATAAAATAGAATACCATGCAGTGCTTAACAGGAACTTGCCAGATTTACAGGTGCTGCTTGATAAGCTAAGAGGTACAGGGATTAAATTGCAGTGCAGTGAAGCCGGCCATGAATTACTTGAGTGTCTTCTCTCAGTATGGCAGCCAGGAAGATTTTAGGTTTAACCTTGAGAACTATCTGTGGCTCTTCCATGCCATATATTGCCCAAGGCTCATGACCTTTACCTCCACTCTACTAGGAAGATCCCTCAAATTAACTCCGGAGAAGAGCATAACCCATTGGGAACTGGACAGTTGACCTTCAACCTTTTTTGGTGAAGAACATTCTAAGGAATGCCTTTGATGTTCCCCAATAGAAATAAAGTAAGCACAGGCTCCATTTTGTCTTTTTAGTATATAAGCTCAATCCCATATGATTAGCTTGCCCGTCCTTGCCCCCACTTTTTGAAATTATTTTCTGTGTCCTGTGGATTCTTCCTCCACCTATTTTTCTTAGCTTTTATTTCACAGCCAGCCCATTCCACCAGGGGAAACCTCATTCCCATCACCTGCTTAGGACACAGGCAGGATTGCAGAGTAGCTATTATAATAAATGTCTGTCATTAATGGTTCCCCAAATATTCTGAACCCCTCTTCTGACACCCTGATTCTCACCTTCCCTAAGTAGTATAAACAAACATAAACAAACCAAAAAAGAATACCATATTTCCCAGCCTTCCCCAAAGGTAGGTATTTCTCCAAAGTATGTGGCTAGTAATTACATGGCCTAGAGTTTGTCAATTAGAAAAATCCAGGTATTATGTTTGGAAGTGATCATGTGAGAAAACAGTCAGGCAAAGGTTATTTTTTTGATTAGCTTAATGACAGCAGAGGCATAATGTTTGGGGATAAAACTGAAGAAGTTTTCTGATGAGAGAAAAGGTGGTAGGATAGTCCAGTGGCTACAGGATCCTTTGTGAAGCCAGTTCTACAAGGTGGTTGTCAGCGTATTCCTGAAACTATCTGGAAACTGTTTTCCAGACTGTGATTCTCTAAACATCATTACCCTTTATAAATCATTTTCTGGATAAAACTAGCTAAAATGGATTCTATTACAAGAATTAAGAAAGCTTTTATATACACAAAGGATAACCATTTTTTTATCTTTATATGCTCAAAAAATTATGAACAAAAAATACCTGAAAAGCATCACATATTCAGAGAGGTCTGAAGGTCCATAAGTCACTGATAAAATCTACTGCCAACAAGGAAATGCAACTGGTGTACACAGGTGGAAAGCATAACAGAAGGCTCTTCCATTTCTTTTGTATACTTTTTTTACAATAATATATCATTATATAATGTCAGGAATCTTTTCTTAATTTAAAATCTTAAAAAAAAAAAAAAAAAAAAGCTAGAAGCCAATATGCCCAGCAAGGCGCTGGGTTGGATCCTCAGCTCCACATAAAAATAAATAAATAAAATAAAGGTATTGTGTCCAACTACAACTAAAAACAACAAAAAAAATTTTTTTAGACATACATGCCATAAATGAAGCAATTCTGTATTTTAAAATGTACACTATAGAAATTAGTGAATGAATACACAAGGATGAAAACATTCGTTGTCAGTAACAAATGGATAACCCAAATATCTACTATGAAAAATTAAACAAAACAAAGTTCAAATCCACTGTATTTAATGATAAAACCATTAAGCCATTAATAATAATAATAATAATAACAATAACAATAATAATAAATAATATAATTCAATACCTTTACTTGTCAGAATAAAAAAAAAAAATGACCTCGGCATACAAATTAAGGGAAGAAGGCAGGTTATAAAGTAGCAAGTTTCTAGTGGTGTTGGATAATATTGTGCAAGCATTGACGTAAATATATGAACACACACATACATCTACATATACATATACACAGAAAATATCCTAGAAAACAGATCTGAGATATTATATACTAAATGGTAACAGTAGTGCTGACTATTACAACCACAAGAGAGCTTCACTTTCTTCCTCATGCCTTTCTTGGTGTGTGTGCACTGGGACTGAATCCCAGGCCTCTCTCATACCTTGTGAACAGCTTTTACTCTTTACAAACAACCACTCATGGTTTTTATGATGTTTTGATTCTTTAATGAAAGAACAACAGAAATATCCTTATTCGATACCTTGTGCCTTTATGACATTACTGTTTTCTTACCTTTAAGCCTTCAGCTGGAAGTCTATAACCAAATCTTGCTGGAAGATCATCAAATGTCTGAGATGCATTTTCCAAATTATACTAAATATAAAATTAAAAATAAAAATAATGAGGTTAAAGCCAATTTATACGTAACATTAAAAAGTTTATGATAAAGTGTCACTTCCACAATTCTGATTATTGCTGCTTATCACAATAAAATCAAATGTGACAATGTGCATCTACTAAAACAGCAAAGAATATATACAACTTAAATACGACTGTTAAAATCTGATTCTGACTTCATATATTATTATCAAACAGCAACAATGACCCTGTCACATTAAACAAGCTACAGTTTTCTGAGCTTTTCTCACTGATAATTCCCTAGCAAGGAATTTTCTAGACAGAACACTTTTCAGCAAGAGAGCTCCATTTTATTTTTCTGTGTTATAAGGGTCTGATTGAACAAAAGACTCTATCTATGAAAGATGACTCTTCCCCAGTGAAAGGAGGGGAAATCATACTTTTAAGGACTTGTTGATTTTGATGTAAGCTGAACATTTTTATCCAGTGAGTGGAACAGTGGAAGGATGGAACGCAATGAAATGTACACACAGAAAAGCTGAAAGTACTCAGGCTTCTTCAAAACTTGCCCCTTCCATACAGATATTCAGTACTGTACAATATATACCAATACAATAAATATTATTGGTAAATGCAATATTTATCAATCATCCACTAACAAATAAAACTGTTCTTTTAGAAGACCGTAGTAATGATACAATTGTGAGATGAAATACTCACAGTAAAGGTTTGCTTGGTCCTCCCATCCTTCTGTTATGGTCAGTGTTATGAAACACTCTTGCTTTATTTCAAGAAACTTTGTTTTGAAACTTTGTTTCAAAAGTTGCTTATTCACTCTGCACATTTAGTTTCCTCTTCCTTATTTCTGTTATTCTCAGTATTTACTATAGAGTGAACATCACTGAAGGAGGCAGCAGACTCATCTCACAATGACATCACTCCTGCTGTCTTCTGAAAGCATTATTATTTCACCAGCATCTCTCTCCTTCCCCAGTACTAAAAGTAAAGTACCTTTTGTTTTACTAGCCTTGTTCACGGTAAGAACACTTCTTTAAAACAATGTGATCTTGTTACCACCCACTGGGTGCACTCTGCTGTTCAGCGTGCTGACCTCACAACCATCAAGGAGCCAACCCTCTGACAAATGGAACCACAAGGCAGACTGGGGTGGACCAAAATCCAGTAGTTGGACTCCATGAAACAAAGAGTAAAATGCGATGGATACAACTTCTCAGTAAGAACATGGACGAAACTCAAAGGCAACAAGCCACTTGTGGCCTCTGGGCCTCAAGATATTTGGTGTCGATCTGGTCATCGCTAGACTTGGCTAGCTCTGCCAAGTCTAAATTTCCATTTTCCTAGATGGAAATTCACATAATCAATAACATCACATTTCTTCAGGAGTCAAAGGAAAGAGAAATAATGAGATTAGAGACAAAACAGTCATCTAAAAGAAGCAAGGAGCAAATGCTATTAAAAGATAATACAATAGCAGTAAATCCCCAAGGTTCTTAATCAGTTCAGACATTTACTCAAGCCCTCTTGTGAAATGAGCAGGCACCCGGAGCACAGCGCTTAGTGAGCCACAGTCTGCCTCCCAGGTACTCAGGTCTCGGGGCTTATGAAATAGTCAGCAAAGCACCAGAGAGGCATCTCCATTGCCCCTCAGAACTCTCAACTAGTTCACAAGCATGTTGACAGCCAAGAGGGAAACTTCAATGGACAAAAAGAAAAGGAAAACCAAGGAACTGGGCAGACAAACAGCACAAATCAACTGACACCTCTACAAAGCAGCACCCAGTTCTGGTCCAGATGGAACTAGAATCAACATGCAGTCCAACTACTCAGCTCGGTACTGGCCAACTCAGACTTCAGGGATGCTCAGGCTCAGCTGAAAGGAAAACCTACTTCCTACCTCACTCCTCGCCTTGCCTCTCAGTGCCTGCTCTTCCCACCCATAGGCTTTCCAGCCAGCTCCCTTTCCAGTGGTCTCTGCAGCATGCCCCTCAGTGCCAGCAGAGACAGATGCCCGCGGTGCCCCTGCTGGATGGCATCACATAACATATCCCATGCCTGCATGCCTGAGGCACAGGAAACAAGCCAGCAAGGAGGACTGATGCCCCTCTGTACTGTGCCTTTTTTTCTGTCTCTGTATGAATACCCACAGCTCCAGTAGTCTCATATCTTCTTGAGGATGAGAGTGAAGGACAATCAGAATAATTACAATGAAGATAATAAATGATATACAAGACATTTACCAGGTGTGGATACCACTCTAGTAGTTAACGCATTTAATTATCATAACACTCCAGTTTTTTAAAAAGAAAATGGAGGTATCTACATTGGCAAAGTAATTTGATCAAAGTCACACAGCTGGTTGGAGTCGTGGAGCAGTCCACTAAAAATCATTTAACTACCAGAGAGCTGGAGCACAAGATAAGAACCCATCTCAGACACAAAGAAAGAAAGGAAGGAGTGACGGGCACCAAAAGTAACAGACGGACAAAAAGGAAGACCTCAAAGATGAGAAGGGAGACAAGAAAAACTCATTCCCTGATCAGTCCATAAATCCCCTACTCATTTCAAAAAGCATTCCAACAATATTCCAAGGCCTTTGGGGACCAGTTTAGAGGAGAGATTTGAATAACAATGGACTCAGTCCTTAAAGATTCTATTTCTACTCGACCTACACACACCACCTACACTCCACCTCTACTCCACCTACTCCAGACTACACCAGCAGGAGGAAAAAAAAACTAATCCACCAGTTCTCTGGTAAAGAAAGTGACAGGGACTGAGGATCTCACATGGTCCACACTAAAGCTGCTCTGCCTTCGAAAACCAGCCTGGCTCACCCAAGTTCTACAAAGATCCTGGAATTTTCCTGAAGTGCTTTTTATATGCAGAAGCACAGCTGAGGACCACACCAAGCTTTAGTCAGCAACAATTCTGGTCCTTCTATCCCTTATCCAGTATCATTAAGTAAACAGCATCAAGAAAGTAAAAACAATAAATCCTTAGCAAAGACCTGGTATATAGGACCATCTACCCCCCACCCCCACCCCACAGAGTTAATTCCTCTTTACCTACCTTCACAAAATGAGAAATAGGAAATACAAGTACTTCCCATACAGAAGAGAGTAAGACGTGGCTGAGAGAATGACCAAGGTCTAGAGAGCAATCACTCTCTTTCTCCATTCACCATCAAAGAAAGGAGCCTTCTGCTGCTCTTCTGACTCGTTAAGGCTAACCTTAAATTGAAATTTTCTGTGTCTTGTAGTATTTCTTAAAATATCATTATCGCTGCAGATGCTATTGACATCTCACAGTCATTAAATATGCTAGGTACCAAGAAAAACAGCAGGATTCCACCTGAATACACAAGCACGCAGGCAGGTATGCACAGGCACCTACCACACACACATCAGGAGCGGTAGCACCTATCAGGTGATGTGCATGAGGTCTCACATCAGGTGTTAAACAATACAAAATGAAGACATGCCCCATTTTCAAGTACCTGTCCTTTGGGCAAGTCTGTAGGTACATATCTTCATAATATTCTGTCATTCAAGACTCTCATAAAGCCTTTCTTTAAGGAATGCTCAGACATGAATAAATTTTCCTTTACTTACAGCTAAAATGTCCGCCTCTACAGGCAGCAGGTTTAAGAAGGCAAAGAGCTGGACGGTCAAGAGGGTGTAGACTTGTGTAGCCGACAGCATGAGCATCCCTATGGAGAGCAGCATCGTGTCAAATCACCTGGAAGACAAGGACACAACCATCAGAGTTGGTGCCTGTTCCATGAGAACAGTGATATGCCATTGAATTCCTAATGTTCAAAAATGTCCACTCTAATTACAAACGTGTTAGCTGATATTAAAATGAAAACACATTCCAGAAGCATAAGAATCCATATCATAAGCTTATCCATAAGCATAACCAGCACCTGCATGACTCACGGTGTGTCATGCACAAAGCAAACTTCCTCCCACAGTGCCGGGTCTACTAATCCAATTTTAAGAAAAACTAAATTACAATCCAAATTATGGTTTAAAACACACAGAAGAAAAATTCTAGCCAGTGCAATCAGGCAAGAGAATAAAATAAAAGTGTAAAAAATTGGAAAGAAAGAAGTCAAAATTATCACTGCTTGCAGAAAATATGATCCTATTCTTAGAAGATCCAAAAAAAAAAAAATCCACCAAAAGACTGCTAATGCTAATAAACAAATTTGGTGAAGTAGCAGGTTAGGAAATCAACATACAAAAAGCTTTCCTACATACCAACAATGAATCTGCTAAGGAAGAAATCAGGAAAACTATTCCACTAACAATAGCCTTGAAAGAAAGAAAGAAAGAAAGAAAGAAAGAAAAAACTAGGAATAAATCTAACCAAGGAGGTGAAAGACCACTACAATGATAACTATAGAACACTGAAAAAAGAAACTGAAGACACAGAAGAAGGAAACCCTACCCCCACCCCATGTTCATGGATAGGCAGAATTAATATTATTAAAACGGCCATGCTACCAAAAACAATATAGAGATTCAATGCAACATCCATCAAAGTACCAAAGACATTCTTCACAGTACTAGAAAAAAACAGTCCTAAAATTCATTTGGAAGAATAAAAGACCCAGAAAAGCCAAAGCAATTCTAAGTCAAAAAAGAATGCTGGAGATACCACAATTCCTGCCTTTAAATTATACTGCAAAGCATTAGTAACAAAACTGCATGGTACTGGCATAAAAACAGACCAATGGCACAGAATAGAAAGACACAGAGACAAAACCACACAGATGCAATAATCTAATCCTTGACAAAGTGCCCAAAACATACAATGGAGAAAAGATAGACTTTTTAACAAATGGTGCTGGGACAACTGGTTATCCATTTGTAGAAGAATGAGACTTGATCCTTATCTCTTACCCTGCACAAAAATCAACTCAAAACGGATCAAAGACATGGGAATCAGACCAGAAATTATGCAACTCCTAGAAGTAAATGTATGTGCAACACTCCAATATATAGGCACACGCAATGACTTTCTCAATAGGCCCCACAAAGCTCAGGAAATAATACTAAGAATTAATAAGGAGGATGGCATCAAATCAAAAAGCTTCTGCACAGCAAAAGAAACTATTAGAAATATGAAGAGAGAACCCACAGAATGGGAGAAAATCTTCACTACCCACTCTTCTGACAGAGAATTAATATCTAAAATATACAAAGAACTAAAAAAATCTTACCACCAAAAACCCCAATTAATAAATGGGCAGATGAATTAAGGAGACACTTCTCAAAAGAAGAAATACAAATGGTCAACAGTCAGAATGGCAGTCATCAGATATACAAACAATAATAAATGCTGGAAAGGATGTAGGGGAAAAGGACGAGCTTTATACTCTTGGTGGGATTATAAATTATTACAACCACTATGTAAATCAGCATGGAGTTTCCTCAAAAGATTAGGCATGGAACCCCCATATGACCCAGCCATAGCACTTCTCAATTTTTATCTTAATGAATTAAAGTCATCACACTACAGAGACATGTATGCCCTCATTTATAAGCAGCACAATTGACAACAGCCAAACTATGGAACCAGCCTAGGTGTCCATCAATGGATGAATGGATCAAGAAAAGGTGGTATATATACACAATGAAGTCTTACTCAACCATAAAGAAAAATAAAATTACGTCATTATCAGGAAAATAGATGGAACTTAAAACCAATATGTTAAGAAAAATAAGCCAAACTCAGAAGGTCAAGTATGCTATGTTTTCTCTTATATGTGCAATCTAGAGAGGAAAAAGGAAAAGAAAGATGGGGCAGATCTCATGAAAATCGAAGGGAGATCAGTAAGGGAAGGGAGGTGGGGGAGTGGGGGGGGGAGTGATACTGGCCAAATTATATTTTATGCATGTATAAAATATATTTGTAATAACAAATCCCATCACTATGTACAATTATAATGCACCAATTTAAAAATGTGTAAAGAGGGGGAAAAAACAGAGAACATTTGTCTTAATTTTTTTAATTTGGGGGGCTGGGGATACAGCTCAGTGGTAGAGCATTTGCCTATAATGTGTGATTGATCCCCAGTACCACAGAGAAATAAATAAACTAGATTAAACTTTTTTTAGAAAACAACTGATGAAATTTTAAATGTTCTACAATTTTTAGGAATTTTAGTCTCAGCTCAAGGCAAATTTACACTTTTTATTTACTCCTGTATGTTGTACCCACATTAAAGAATAAAAAAAAAAAATCTGCTTATTATAAAGTATATATTGAACATCTCAAATCCAATATCCAATATCTTCAAAATTGGAAACTTTGAACAGCAACATGCTCAGAGTGTTTCAGATTTTGGAGCATTTCCAATTTCTGATTTTCAACTGGTAAAGTCGATACAAATACTCTAAAATCCCAAAACTCCTAAGTCTGAAACACCTCTGGGCTCCAGCACTTTGGATCAGAGGTATCCAACCGTAACAGCCTCTGTTCTTTCCCTCCTAACACTCTGCCCCACAAATCCAAATGGCAACAGTGCAGCTACATTCTCCCCCTCCCCCCACCCCGCCCAATCACACCCAGGTCCCCACCTGGGTCCCTTTCTATCTTACAGCAAAAAGATAAGGTGAAAGGGCTACATGCTGGCCAAGTGAATGTTAAACCCTCACTGGCCTCAACTGATGCACAGCATGCTTTCAAATAAGTGAGAAAAAAAATCTGTAAAAATGAGAGGCTTTCTCATGGATTATTTCATTAAATGCCCCCAACTCACGACATCAATTCTGATGATGATTATTGTTGACAACTGCTGTGGGTTTAGCAGCAACCAGACAGACTCAATTTCTAAAGTTTTACTCACATAATGGAAGGGAAATACCGAGAATGATTTTCAAGCTATCATCTTACAAAGCCATTAATATCACAGATGAAAACATATTCAAGTATTGTTCCACAGAGACAGAAAAGAGATTTGTGGCTGACGGGGGAAGAGGAGAGGGGTTTGAGGGAGGTGGGGACAGCTAGGTATGAAGATCGGCTGCTGGATGGCTGCAGGTTTGAGGGGCAGATGATGAAAATATTCTAAAGCTAGGATGTGATGGTGGTAGCACAACTCCAAACCTGTCCTGAAGATCACTGAAGGGTAGACTCTAGGAGTGGGTGGATTCTACAGGGTGTGAGTTGTTACAAGAATACTGTTTATAAAACATTATTTTATTGACATTAGTATTTTAGAGAAAATACATTGATAACATTCTACTATGCAGAAACTAGTTACCACTATAGGCCTGAGAGTCCAGCCTTAGAAACACCTATTTGCAAGATTTTCCTTTGGCTGGCATTTATGAATTTAGGTTTTCAGATGGTTCCCACCATTTTCTATTAATAAGAGTTTAATGTAATTAAATTTTGCAGACAATGTGGTTCAGGCTGAACACCTGCTTTACTTCTGGAGTCTGGACTCCTGGCACTCATTAGGCAGAGGGTATACACATCCACAGTCCACAGGATAAATCCCAGCACTAAGATCCTAACCAGCTGCCTCAGTGGACACCTCACATGTGTGCCACACTTAGTGCTGAAGACTGGTCACCCCTTGGTTCCTCTAGACCTTGCCCACTGTGTCTTCTCCCTTTGCTGATTCTGCTGTAATAAATTACAGCCAGGAGGACACATGGGCTAGTCCTATAGATCCCTGGAGTGAAGCACTGAAAAGGACAATTTCTGGCCAGAAATCATAGAAACAGACAAATCCTCACAAAACAAGGAATGATTGCCATTAAATTTTACTAAGAAGAAAAAACATGTACCCTGTTGACTGGTGCCCTATTTGGGAAAATGAATCTGAATAAGAACTATGACTTTCCTTCTAAAGTTCCAGAATTTCCAGGAACCTCTGAGGTTAAGAGAGGGAGCAGAATATGGAGAGAAAATAATTCTAAAGACAATAGACACAGGACCAATAACAACCAAAGCAGCGAACACCTGTCACTCCCCATGTGGCATGTGAGGCATGTCTTAAGTTAGCTGATACCCACAACTCCAGAGGCGCCATCTCAGATGAGGAAAACGCAGACACTGATTTTGCCCAAGATAAACAACAAATAGTTGCAGAGCCAGAATTCACACCTCATAGTTGTCTCTCAAGTGCACATCCTAGGCCCACCTAACAGCACAACACCAGGGCCAATGCCCCAGCCTGCAGCCACTCAAGACTCTTCCAGCAAGGGCCACAGCACAACAGTCTCAGGATGTCTCCTTCCTCGACACTGCACATACATGAGTGTGAGAGAGAGAATGTGTGTGTGTAACGATATGCAGTGTGCTTTGGTTATACTTTTTGGCTCACTATCTTCTTAAAATTAATATTCTGGAATTTGGATTTTACAGTCTATTTACAAAACTAATTCTTGTTTATTGTAGCAATTTGTGGAAAAAGTAAAGTCACCCAGTCTTCGTATAAGGAAGAACCAACAACTACACTTTGATGTATGTGTGATTCTCCAGACTTCAGCTGTGAGTACATTCAGATATATATTTAGCTGAACATATTCTCTTGCTGGGGAGACACGGTACATATTCTCTTGCTAACTACATTCTCTTCACTTACTGCATTGTATTTTCCTAATTCATTAACTATATTTGAAGAAGCTTTAAATTTTAAACCTTGTACCACAACATCCCGTCAAGGACCACTCCAGACAGCTGTCCATAAGACCCTCTGAGCTTCCATTCCTTTTGAACACTATATTTTCCTTACCTTATTTCATATATTGGGTTTCCATATGTGATGAGTTGATACAAAGTGAGAATTACAGATTGGAAAAAGGATGCATGATAGCTACATCCCTTATGAATGTTCCATAGTGGACAGAATGGGGAACCCTATTGTTGGATGTTTCATTTAACTATTATAAATTCCATAATAAATATTCTTTTAGTAAATACAACAACAAATATTCAATCAACAAAGATATGTTCAACATCTCTAGCAATTAGAGAAATGTAAATTAAAACTACGCTAACATTTCATCTCACTCCAGTCAGAATGGAAATTATGAAGAATTCAAGCAAGGGTGGGGATTGTAGCTCAGTAGACCATATGTCTAGCATGTATGAAGCACTAGGTTTGACCCTCAGCACCACATAAAAATAAATACATAGAGGTATTGTGTCCATCTACAACTAAAAAGATACTTTTTTAAAAAAGAATGAAATTATGGCATTTACAGGTAAATGGAGCTGGAGATATCATGCTAAGCAAAATAAGCCAATTCCAAAGAACCAAAGACCGAAAGTTTCTCTGATATGCAGATGCTAATTCACAATAAAGAGGGTGGGACTAGGGAAGAATAGAGGTACTCTGGATTAGACAAAAGGAAGTGAAGGGAGAGGAAGGGGTATGGAGATAGGAAGGATAGTAGAATGAATCAGGTAGTATCATCCTATGTGTATATGTGATTACAAACGGTGTGATTCTACATCATATACAACCAAAAGAATCAGAAGTTATACTCAATTTATTTATGATGTGTCAAAATGCATTCTACATTCTAATTAGAACAAATTTTAAAAATTCTTATAGTTAAAGAACCTATGGGTACACCCTTAGGTTTTGTTTTGTTGTTTGTTTTTATTAAAGCCATAGAATTGGCTGATACTATAATAAATGCACTAAGAAATATGGGATCTAGGGGGTGGGGTTGTGGCTCAGTGGTATAACACTCATCTAGCACAGGTGAGGCACTGGGTTTGATCCTCACCACCACACAAAGATAAATAAATAAAGATATTGTGTCCATCTACAACTAAAAAATATTTTACAAAAAATAGAAAAAAAAAAAAGAAAAAGAAATACAGGATCTAGTCAGACACAGTGGCACACACCTGTAATCCCAGAAACTTGGGAGGCTGAGGCAAGAGGATCACAAGTACAAGGCCAGCCTGGGCAACTTAGTGGACCCTATCACAAAAATACATAAAAAGAAATAATATCAGATAGATCAGGGTCTATGTACCAGCATTGTTATATACAATAGTAATACAGTATAATTTGAAGGCAAAATGTTTTAATTAAATAAACTGTTTCATCTTTAAAAGGAGAACAGGACCTAAAAGACGCTCTGTAGAATAAATACAGTTATACACAGAAAGGGCTTACCGTGACAGTGAAGTATAGAAGGGAAAGACTTTAGATAGCAGATGACCCAGGAAATCCAGGAGAAGAACTAGAGCTGACAGGCAGACACGCTGCAGGAACATGGAGCTCAAGAGGGTGCTTCCAGAGACTAAGCCTACCTGTTAATTCTCAGCATGCCTTTCTGAGGAACAGCTCACACAAGGCCGTTACCCGCTCTGGTTTAAAAAGGTATGTTACCCTGTGGACTAACAACTTGTTATTCTCAGTGTTACTCTTCATTTTCAGGGCTGAAGAATGTGTGCTCAGACTCCTCCACCATTAAACACACACACACACACACACACACACACACACACATATTACCCTGATCCAGACATGCACAGTAGAGGCTCAAAAATCTTACACAATCCAACTGTCAATCAAAAGCTAAGATTGAGCAAAATTCTCCAAAAATATCCCTCCCACCTTAATAAAATTGGGCTTACAAAGACAGCAGCTGTCATTCTCCTTTCTCTGAGAGTGTTTTCTTATCTTCTTTCTCTTCCAATAAACATTGGTATACTTTTACCAAGTTCTGTGTCTTGGATGAAATTCTCTTTTGAGAGACCACAATGCAATCTCCAGAAACACAGTGAGTGGGATGAATATAATTTGGGGAATTTTTGCTTAATATTTGTGGAACACTCTGGTGTCCATGTAAACAGGCAGTGATAAACAGTCTGATGCTCCACATCAGGCAGAGATTTGGTATCATCAAAAAATAGATAACTGAAGAATATAATTTTCACTTTAAGATAAAAGTGAACATCAAAAAGAAAAAAGAAGAATATGTAAATGTAGAGGCGGAGAGAGAAAGCAGAACAAAAAGGGATATTAATTTCACAAAAGTCAAGAGAAAAAAGAAACTTTGTAATAAATACAGGGAGAAGGAGGCAACTGGTCAACAGGCCAATGTCAGAGAAGAGGCAGGCAGGGCTAAGGTGTCCAAAAGAGCCTGAGACATGTAAGGAGTCTGTCTGTGCGTTCTACCAGTCCCCACTGCTCAGTCCACTCTCTGTCCCCAGGATGCACCTTGGTGGCTCTGTATCTTTATTCATGTGTCATCCAGAAACTAAATACTTTGGGGGGGGGGGCGTAGGGGGGCCTGCAAATCCTATGAAATTATATGCTCAATTCTGCGTATGTATAAATATATGTGGTTTCCATGAAAAATGTCTGTGGTGATTAGCACATTCTTTTTTTTTAGAGAGAGAGAGAGAGAGAATCTTTTTTGTAGATGAACACAACACAATGCCTTTATTTTTATGTGGTGCTGAGAATCAAACCTGGGTCCCGCCTGTGCTAAGCGAGCGCTCTACCGCTGAGCCACAATCTCAGCCCCAGCACATTCTTTAAAAAAAAAAAAACCTCTTATATTGTTGCTTTCTTTTTAGATTTTAGCTTAATTTTTTCCTTCTCCAAGAAACCTTCTGAGGAGAAAGTTGAACAAGCTGAAATCTTTGACACCTTTCCCAGCACTCAGCCTACCAGTTTAGTACAAACGCAGATCTACACGCTTATCTGGCCTGTCATAATCCCACACCTCTGGTGAGTATGAAAGCTTTACTGGGATGAAGGTAAGAGTTCTCAAAAAAGATGCCTTTGATGTTGGTATGCTACTACCAGGCAACATTAATTACTGGAAAATGATTTCCTGATTGGTGAAAAGCACTTAAACTGGGAAGACCAGGGGTAAACCATAATAGCTTACTACAAAAACAAAGCACCTCTGAGCCCTGTGTGGTGTGTCCTTGAAACTGAGCAAGACCTGCAGGAAGTGGAAGCTGCTCTGGGCTATCAAGAAGCAGCTCCTTTCAGCACCTGTGAGTGTTCCTCTGGGGAGGTGATGCTGCCTACAGCCTGAGATCATGGTTTGCCATCCTGCACACACTGGGTGGGCAAGAAAGCACTCCTTGGAGGATGTAAGGCTTCCTGATGCAGATGTACTTCAGGTTGGCATGCTATGCTCCTATCTATACGGTCCCACAGCGCTCAGGCATCTGGTGCCAGGGCATGGTGCACCTGTCACCAAGATGAGAGTGTCACTCAGAGTATGGGTTACCTCCACTGACACAGAGTGTGTGCTGTGCCCTTCTTCTCCAATACAAGTCTTCCTGGCCTCTCCTCATTGAATTATTTAACTGTTGCAATCTATACAATAAAAAATATTTATGTATTTTTGGTTGTGACTCTCATCATTCCCAAACAGAACATACTTACCCTGAGGATATTCTTTAAAATAAACTTAGGACACAGAGAAAACCTAGCAAAATACGGCTGGTTACAAATGCCTACTTCTTTCTTCCCTCCCTCCTTCTCCTTTCCCTTCGCTCTGTCCTTGCCCTCCCTTCCCTACCTCCCCCTCTCACATTACCAAGGACAGAACATAGCTCTATACTCATCCTGAGTATTGAATAAGCCCACAACGAGAAAAAAAAATTATGCTTCTTCAAAGAAATGAAATTAAAAGAATATGCAAGAAATCTTCCAGAACTACCAAACAGATTTCTAAAGATTCACTCATCACCACTATCCTTAATCACATTTAATTTTACATATTATTTGATAAAATTACACTATTTTTTTTAAATTTTTTCTTTTTAGTTACTACATGACAGTAGAGTATATTTTGACATATCATACATACATGGAGTATAACTTTCCATTCTTGTGGTTGTACATGATGTGGAGTTTCACTGGTCATGTATTTGTGTATTCATATATGAACATAGGAAAGTTATGTCTCATTCATTCAATGTCTTTCCTACTCCCATCCTCCTTCCCTTCCCTTCATTCCCCTTTGTCTAATCAATGAACTTCTATTCTGCCTTCCAGCACACCCCGCTTGTTGGTTGTTAGCATCTACATATCAGAGAGAACATTGGACCTTTAATTTTTTGAGATATGCTTATCTCACTTAGCACGATAGTCTCCAGATCAATCCATTTACCAGCAAAAGTCATAAAGTCATTCTATTTTATGGCTGAATAGTATTCCATTGTGTATATGTGCCACAATTTCTTTATCCATTCATTTGTTGAAGGGCACCTAGGTTGGTTCCATAGCTTAGCTATTGTGAATTGAGCTGCTATAAACATTGATGTGGCTGCATCACTATAGTATGATGATATTAAATCTTTTGAATATAGACCAAGGAGTGGGACAGCTGGGTCAAATGGTGGTTCCATTCCAAGTTTTCTAAGACTCTCATACTGCTTTCCAGAGTGGTTGCACCAATTTGCAGTCCCACCAGCAATGTATGAGAGTGGCTTTTTCCCCACATCCTTGCCAATATTTATTGTTACTTCTACTCTTAATAATTGCCATTCTGATTGGAATAAAATGGAATCTTAGTGTAGTTTTAATCTCCATTTCTCTAATTGCTAGAGATTTGACCAACTGTACTTCTCTCTAATTGCTAGAGATTTGACCAACTGTACTTCTTTGTGAAGTACTTGTTCACTTCCTTTGCCCATTTATTGATGGGTTATTGGCGGGGGGGGGGGGGGGGTTGTTTGTTTTTGGGGGTTTTTTGGTGTTAAGTTCTTTGAGTTCTTTATATATCCTGGAAATTAATACGATGAGGTACAAGTGGCAAAGATTTTCTCCCATTCTGTAGGCTCTTTCTTCATGTTCTTGATTATTTCATTTACTGTGAAGAAGCTTTTTAGTTTGATTCCATCCCAGTTATGGATTCTTGATTTTACTTCTTATGCTTTAGTAATCTTGTTGAGGAAGTTGGTTCCTAAGCTGACATGATGGAAAGTTGGGCCTACATTTTCTTCAAGTTAGGCACAGCGTGATGCCTAGGTCCTTGATCTATATTTGAGTTGAATTTTGTGCAGGGTGAGATAAGGGTTAAATTCATTCTGCTACTTAAGAATTTCCACTTTTTCCAGCATCATTTGTTGAAGTAGCTATCTTTTCTCCAGTGTACATTTTTGGCACCTTTGTCTAATATGAGATAACTGTATTTATTTGGATTTATCTCTGTGTCTTCTATTCTGTTCCACTGGTCTTCATGTCTGTTTTGGTGCCACGCCATTTCTGTTGCTATAACTCTAAGACATAATTTAAAGTCTGGCAATTGTGATGCCTCCTATTTTATTTTTCTCACTAAAGATTGCTTTGGCTATTCTGGGCCTCTTATTTTTCCAAATGAATTGCATGACTGCTTTTCTATTTCTATGAAGAACATCATTCAAACTTTATAGGAATTGCATTAAACCTATATAGTGCTTTTGATGATATAGTCATTCTAACAATATTAATTTTGCCTATCCAGGAGCATGGGAGGTCTTTCCATTTTCTAACATCTTCTTTAATTTCTTTTTTTAATATTCGGTAGTCTTCATTGAAGAGGTCTTTCATCTCTTTTGTTAGACTGGTTCCCAAATATTTATTTTTTGAGACTGTTATAAATGGGACAGTTTTCCTACTTCTTCCTTCAACTGATTAATCATTGATGTATAGGAACGCAATTGATTTATGGTTGTTAATTACATATCCTGCTACTTTGCCGAATTCATATATGAGTTCTAGAAGCTTTCTGGTGAAATTTTTTGAGTCTTCTAAATATAGAATCATGTTGGGGCTGAGGTTATGGTTCAGTGGTAGAGCGTTTGCCTAGCATGTGTGAGGCACTGGGTTCAATTCTCAGCACCACATGTAAATTAATAAAATAAAGACACACTGACAACTATATAAAAGTAATAAAATAAAAGTATAAAAATATAAAAGTAATAATAAAAAATACATAGAATCATGTTGTCACCAAATAGGGA